TCTTTGATCGTCAGTTCAAAGGCCCGGTTAGAGGGCACTGTGGGCCGACTGGGCCCTTCTTCGCGCCTCATCGAACACTCCCTTGAGAGCTCAGGGCTCTCTGTGAGGCGATGTCGGCCCCTGACAGAAAAAAGGTCCCCCGACCAGTGTAAATCACTGGCTACCACTCTATAGCTGACTGGGAAGTGGATCCTCCAGCCCATACCGACACGGAGCCAACTATGTGGTACGATGGTACCTGATCAACATATGGGCCCCTTTCACAAGTGTTTATTTGTATTATTTTGAGTGGGCCACTGCCCCCTCCCCAATGTTCAATCTGCCCTCCTCCCCCTCCCCCAATTGCGAGTTTGGCCCCAAACTTCTGAAGCTCAAGTTCATTTAGAACATTACGAATGGAAGCTCAAAACTACCTAACATTCAAAGAAGGGTTCTACTAATTGTTTCACAGGTAAAAGAGTTTTAAAAAATGACAACTGCGATTTCATGTTCAGTTTAGTGCACCTGACTGCGTTAGTCACACTTAAGCACGCGCTCGGTTTTAGGTTAAATTTACTCCCCGAAGTTTTTCGGAATGGTTTCCGAACGGCGCGGCGTGGCCGGTCCAAATTTTTGCAGAACTGTAGACAATTGAATAGTGGATCGTGTGGTATCAATTAATCGGATGTATATTGTACCTTGGATGCACCTCAACCACGGTCACTGACCTTGAATGAGCATGTGATCTTTTGCTTAGAACGGGTATCTAAGTTCTGGGGACACTTTGGAAACCATATTGGAGATTGACCTTGTTTGACTCTATTTGACCCGAAGGTCGTAAACTAAGAGACTCAAATGTTGGCCAAAGTGAGTTCATGTACAGGCCAATACACCCTATGACTTTGGTGTCTCTAGCCCTATTAGTTCCTGAGATCTCAGCGGGGTCAAATTGACCCTCCACCCGAGCGGATGGTGTCCAACTGGCCACGCGGGCCCGTGCTAAAGCTCCGCAATCATTTCGTGTTTGCTTGAGTTCTTTTTTCTTCTGTGTTTCGTTCTGTACGCTGCATGTTTTAACTACACGATTTATATCGCTGGTTGACTAGTGTAGTTCTGTACTATTGTTGGAGTGTTTTGGTATTATTCAGCGATATTTAAGTTATACAGACCGCAGCGAGTCGCGTTGTTTTGCTACGACGTGTCATCGGAAAATGAAAACAAAGGTTAATGAAGGTATTAGCCGCCTACATTTGCGTCAACCCTTGAAATGTGTCTACCTTCGCTTCAACATGAATACTCGATGAAGCAGTTGCAAAAACCTGCCGATCGACACCAGCGGACTAAACCGATAGAGGTAACCGTCCGACCATGACCACCAGCGCAAGCCGTGCCGAGCATGCCTAATGGGAGTGATGCGGCCCACTCCGCCTTGCGGCAATCAGCGGGGATTTCCATGGCAGACACGATTCGTCGATTACCGAAACCGGGTTTCGACGATCGACGCCAAACAAAATTGAAATGATGCCCAATGACAACATCTTTCGCCGAGACAGAGCAAGCAAACGTATAAGACCAGGGCTGTATTTTCTTTTCTGTTTGGGAGACTAAATCTGCAACGCCACTGACAAAGCATTAGGTCAAATCTCGGAGGAAACCTATTTTTAGTGTATGTGGTGCTAGTTTTCTCCCGCTCGGCCTCACCAACCCTATTTTGTAAAACTCACGACTATGGTGAATTCTTAACGACCGTGACACGCAAAAGATTCGTCAACAGATTATACTTCAGGTTCAGGTCTGGGACACAGTGCCCATTTCCTAAGCAAAAAAGGGCCGAGATCCGCGATTTACATTGTTTGGGGTCCTCCCAGTCGGTTTCGTGTCGGTCTGAGCCCTGAGGGCCCATTTCCTAAGCATTGACAGGGTGGGAGCCCGTTATTTGCATTGTCGGGACCTTTGGTTGCAAGGGGTTTCGAGTCCGCCAGGGCAACATTTGTTGGACAGGGACAGGGACGGGACCTCGAAAGCCAGGGGCCTCTTGCGTTGGTCGAGGCCTTCTGACAATGAAAGTGGAGTTGAGCCTTAACGATGTGAGTCCACATGGCGATAATGGAAGCCCTTTGTCAGGCAGGGCACCGGTACCGAACGGAGGGCTCTCCATCCCATGTCAGCTAGGGGCCCGTTGTGCCGAACTGTAGTCTCTGCGCCAATTTTTGGACACCTGCAACGACAAGGGATCTTTTGTATCAATGAGGGCCCTGTGTCTATCTGGGTGCGTATGGCCGGATCAGGGGGCCTCTGGCATCAGGGAGGCGACCAATGTATGATGTATCCTCCTAAGGGTTTCCGTACCCATCAGGTGATCCCGCCCCTGCGTCACCGGCATGACAGTCACCCGTTCACCAGTCAGGCACCCCACGCTGGAACCGTATGGCCCGGAAGCCCCTGATCGATAAATATGACGTGCCGCTATTGGTCCACTGGAATCCTTGCCTGGAAAAGAAAAGGGGTTTTCATAGAGTTCAACAGGGCGAATCAAATGACGTTAAAAATGGAAAGGGCAAACGAGACGAACGAGACGTCCATCCTTGTGCGAGGTCGTCATGTGAAACAGTTTGTATGAAACAGTCGTGGGCCTGCTTGCTCACAATCTTAGGAGCAAGAGCACCAGTGGCCGGGGTTCGCAGTTTCCGTGAAACCGAGCGGCATTGGCCAGTGCAACTAACACCAGATGGTGGTTTGGGCGCTTGGCGCCCGAAAACAGCGATCGTGAAATAGCATTGCCAAAAGTCTTTTTTTAAATCCATTCGTATCGTTTGGAAACTGGACAGCAGCATATGGTCAGCTTGAATTTATTTGAGGTTATCCTCTGAAGGGGAAAACAGCAACAGCAGCACGACAATAGAGATTTTACCTTTACTTGTCAGTGTCTACCATCACATTCTTTCGACGGTTCGCGGTGATACGAATGCTAACCCGTTCATATAAAAATATGTTAATTTGCAGGCGAAATATACTCCCGGAACACCTTCCAAGCGTTCCAATCGACATCCTAAAACGTTTAAAGGTACTTCCTTCAGAAGCGTTGCCGTCTTCGCCCGCTCGTTGGCCACGACATAGTGTTAGGCACGGGACCGACGCGCCGCGGCATCCGGAGACTGCCACGCCGGGCGTCGGGGTTTTTGTTGTAGGACCTCAGAGCGCGCATGGCCAAGACTGGATTATGTAATTCTCACCCCTACCTGATTCTGAACAAAGTTAAGCATTCTGAGACCAAAACGGCTTGATGTGAATGTAAATTTGGGACTTGATCTCGATCTAAGATCTACGCGCACGATGTCCCTGTACAAACCAGAAAAATTCCCGTACAGTCCCTGAGTGCTGTCGGCTTAGGACGAGTCCACTGACACATAATACAACGAACAGCACAGGTGTGTTTCCTTCAGTTGATCGACTTCGAAATGCAAACAGCATTGTATCCATTGGTGACTCCTGGCTTTTAAGAACGGCAGGGCTCCCCTCGGAATCAAGTAGGCCATATCCGATGACTTCTTTTTTTGGGTGGGGGCCCTATCCCAGGGAGAGGGCTTGGGTCAACCCCGTGTCCCACTCCACAGTTACCAAGACTCCGACTGCAGCCCTGCGTCGCCACGCTCCTTGAGCACCGCGTATGCGTATGCAAATATCATCCCATGGTAACGGGAAAGGCAGCTCAACTGACAACGCTGTTACAATCAACCTGCATTACGCTTAACATTGACATGACGGGCGTTTCATTTTTCACAGCTCGAAGTTAAACGGGTGAGGGCTTGCTTTACTTTCAGAGGTACAACAACTTGAAATAGTGTCCCGTAGACGTATAGTTGGCTTACATTTCGTGTTTTCAGTACGCAGGAGAGAGCTGTAACTGCATCCCTTCAGCTTCACAAAACAGCTGCCTTTATAAGAAGCAGGTGCGATCTGCGAGGCTTCCATGCATGATTACTGTGACTACGCCCATGTGCTTTAAAAAGATGTGTAAACATAGTATATATATATATATATATATATATATATATATATATATATATATCCCTCTCTCTCTGTAACTGATAACCAGAACATTAGGTACGAAATCGGAAAGGTTTTTGGCCCTGTCCACTTACGACGACTTCCATGAACCTAGCCCCCGCGCAATCATTTTCAGGAATCGACACCCATGGCCCCTATCAACCCAGGGGTTCCCTGATCGGCGCAGAGGGCCCTCTGACCGTAATTTGAGGGTCCGTCTTCGCGGGCCGGGCCCCTGAATAAGACTCCGACCAACCCTTAGACCCTCCCAGCGGACCCTTGATTATTGAACTCGTGGGCCACCTGGGCTCTTCGAGCCTTCTCGAATATTGCCTCTGGCCGACTCGGGGAGCCTGGACAACGCAGGGCCCCTGTTAGCCGCTGTGGCGTCCCGAACAATGTGAGTCGCTGGCTTCGGCTTTGTCCCTGCTTGGAAAATGGGCCCTCAGGCCCATGCCGCCACGGAGCCGACTGTGCGCCATTGATGGAGTCTGACCGAAATATAGGCCCCTTGCGACTCAGTGGGCTCCTGATCAGCGCGCAGGGCCCTCTGGCTAGCATTAGAGTGCCCGGCCCCGCAGGCCGGAGCCCCTGAATGAGACCTCCGGCTACTTTTTCGGGCTCTTCGGAACCTTAATCGCAGGTTCCAACGGGCCCTAGGGACCTCTCGAAACCTAACGGGTGGGGTGGGGGCACTGCCCCCTGCGCCCCTCTGCCTGTACTAGTGAGGCCAAGTGAGACATGCCCAGTGCTCCTTGCCCTGCTTGTCTCGCCCCCCCCCCCCACTCCCCCTCCTCTGCCCCCGTTACTTATATCCTAACTGACGGCTCCACTGGAAGGGGACCGCTGGGTGGGCGAAGTCCGGCTGAAGGGGATGCCATGATAAAACTAGAGACTTTTTCATTCAGAACTAGGGAAATCTGGCAGTGTCTCACAGTTGCCAAATCAGCCCGAGCTTCCCTCGCGCCTGGCAATCCGTCCTGCATTGTCTCGTGCTTGGTGCTGGTGTTGGGGTCTGCGGCTTCTGGGAAGTGATACGCAATCGAGGCGGCTGCATGTGATACACAGCGGCATCGTAGGACCGCGGCTCAGTTGTTGAGTGTGATCGCCCGGTGTTGGACGCATTTTTTCGATCATGAACCCTAATCGCCGCTTTGTAGCTGTGCTGGTGTTGGTCAGCTGCGCCGCTTTCGCCCTGGGACAGGTGAGTGGTTTCGTTCGGTTACAGGTGCTGCTTTCCTTGTCATTAATGAAGCTTACCAAGCATGCATTGTTTTATTACTGGGCACTGCATCTGGATATGAGCAAAATGGAGCTATATTTGTTTGGGTGACTGACTAGGATCCTGCTAAATTTGTCAATGATTGAGATGGGAGTGATTGGAAGGTTGTCTTGATTTCTGGCAGGCATCACATTTCAAATATGATTGGTGAGGGTTGCAGGTATAATATGAATGTAGGACAAGTTGAAATGATTATTTTCATGCATTAGCATACTGTGCTAGTCTAATATTTGTATGTGAAATGATGCTCCCAGCACATATACAGGGTAGGGTCCATGTTGGCTATTGCTGTGGTCTGTGGCAAGCTTGTGTATGCTTCTGAGGCAAGTTGGAAAAATGAAAAGAATGATGAAATTCAAATCGTCACGGTGAAGGAAAGGATGTCTGTATGTAGTGGAAAGGCAAAAGCTGGCAAAGAAAGATGTCAAAGTGTATTATTTCCAATAAGGAATCATAGAACCTTTACTAACAACTCATTATTTGCCTGTGTTTCAAGTTGTGCTCCCCACTGAAAACAGCAAACTTATTGTTTAGAACTGTATAGGTCACACAATAATATGCATGAAATTGTTTCAGGTAGATTTACAACCTTTACTTTGATGTTTATATTGATGTAATTAGTAGATAGTTGCATTTATGTGAAAATATTCAAGCATGTAACCTTTCAATGGCTATTGCATGTGAGTCATGACTTCATTTTGACATGTAAATTGGACAAACCTGATCTTGCTTAGATTTGGCTAGATGTGATTTGGCTGTTAGGAAGGGAGAGAATATGAATTTCCTGTTGGGAAGAGAGAATGTGAATTGCCAAAGCTGTCTCTTATAGTGAGAAGATGGTGGGATAGAGCTAGTACATGCTGCATGCATAGCTTCTTTAAGAAGCAGCTCTTGAATAACATATAATTTTCACACATGATCAGATTGGGCCCAGCATTAGTTTTTCCATTCAATTAGCTCAGACCTTTTGTGATACAAATTGAAAAGGAAATATGCCATTACTTTCAGCATTCATTGGTGGAGACAATGCCATCAGACCAAAACCATTGTGTTCTGAATTTCAGGCACTGAATGAAGTGCATTTGGTATTGTTTTTAAAACATGTGTGGTGGTCCCACATTTACCCTGGCAAAATGACATATGTCCCAGTTTTGATGTTATTTTACATTGTGGTTGCTGGGAGACAATTTTGCACCAAAACATGTTGATGGCATTGCAGCCTACAATATTATCAACTATCTGCCATGGCTCATAAAGAATGCATAATGGACCTAACATACAAGAGGTAGAAATGCATTTCATGAAGCATTTGCACAGTGAATTGTGCAATGTACCATGGAATTCCACATTTGAAATAGCTTATCTGGGATTGTGAAATAACTGTTGGCATGTTATGCAATGGTTTTGCATGGCTTCGGGCCTGGATTGACCCTCTGGCAAGCAGCAACAGCCATGTTCCACATGTTTATGGTACAGGTAAAGTGGTGTGCTCACTGTGGCTCTGACCTATTGTTATGGATCACTGGAACCAATGAATATGTGCCAAGTGCATGTGGGTGACATCTTTTCCACAACTTCTGTCCCATCAACTGTCAGCGCTGCACCAGCTACTGCAGCTGCTGGAGGCGTCGGCTGACCGTGTGCCCGCCCGCAGGCACCTCCCGACGACGACGACTTTATGTTCGAGCCGGAAGGCTCGGGCTATGGGCTGGCCGGCCACTTCGGCCTCCACAACGTCACGGCGGCGCCCGCCACCAGCCGCGCCGCCGCGCCCGACCACCACGAGGCGTCCGGCAGCGGACTGTACGCCGACGACGAGGACGAGGACGCCTACGGCGCCTACGAGGACTACGACTACCATCTCGACGACGATTACTATGACGGCGAGGAGAGCAGCCGCGACCTCTTCGACACAGTCCTAGGCTCGGATGGTGAGTGCTCGGCCGGCGTCTGGCCCGCGCTGTGTGCTGGCCTGCTTGTGCTCTGTTTGTAAAGGGAACGCGGCTCACGTCGCCGCGCAATCTGTGTTCTGGGCGCTAGCGATTACATTGGCCATATAAGCGCCCAGGAGCCATTGCGGAAGCCAGGATTAGAGGCCTGGGGCCCCACGCAGGACCCGAAGGTGCCAATCACTCGTGATTGCTCCTCATCCTGTTGTGTTCCGCGTACTGCGGAAGAGGCTGGGAGTCGATCGGATGCTGGGTGTGCATGAGTGTGGCCCAATTCGAGAATGGTTTGACTGTATGCAGGCTGGGAGGCTTGCGGTCTCATCGTAGGATGAAGCGATAGGACCTTGGGGGGTGGCTCGGAGTTTCTGCACCAGTTTCGCCGTTAGTGCGATCTTGCTGTGCAACTTCCCTGCTACAATCCCATTTATGACGTATGTTATGGAACTGACGAACTGGAAATGCCCAACTGCCCATCCCTACAGTTCACCTCCTGGTACCAGAAGGATGCGGGTTGCACCGCTCGTCATCTGACCGCGTCAGACGTTCTATTGAAACCGTAGCGGTGCCTCTCCTTCATCGTTGTTTGCTGATTGCCGTGAAGTCGACGGCGAGAACAACGCCTTCCGATTGCAGCCACGCTCGGGTTTTTCGCGCCGTTTGCCTCCTCCCGCACGGTACGGCGTGACGCGACTTCCCCGTTCCCCCTCCCCCACGTCCCGGAACATCCGTTCGTGGAAGTCCCGCTGCTGCGCGAGGGGGGGGGGGGGCTGGGCGACCGTGACGTCACGGGTCGGACGACGACCGCGCCTGGGCTTACCGGCGGTGGGGGCGCGTCCCGCGGGTTCCGGCGGCGCCACCCACGTCCGGCGGCGAATCGATGGGTCGGTGCGGTGTAGCCCATGACGCTGCCTCGCTGTCGTGACCCAGTAGGGGCGGAGGCCCACATCACCGGAAAGACATGTCTAGGTGGGAACGTCCAAGCGGCTAGCGATGGACCGGCTGTATGCGTGAACCGTGCTAGTTTTTGTTTGTAGTGGCAGCAGGCGCCACTCCGAGAAGTCGACGTAGCGCACATTTTAGAGTCAGCTTAAAATGATCATATAACGTTGATGCGGACACCTGCCGGTTGTGTTCGACCGAGGATGCCGACATTTACAGGCTGGCTCATCTAGGAAGAGCTTGACACAAACCAATGAGTCATTAGCTTGTGTTGCAGCTGTCTGGATGGCTGCAGTCACTCCGACATGTTTTGTGCTGCATTCGTCTGCAAGGCTATCCCTGAACGCATTCCAGTGGAAGTCAGTCTCGTATTTTGCCGCGGCGCCTGGTTCCGCCGAAGGAAAAGGATATGACGTGCGGGAACAGACTCAGTGGCATCCGTTGGCCGGGTTGCCGGACGTGAGTGAAGCGTTGGAGGCGAGGTGGCTGGTCAGCAGGCAGGCTGAGCGGTGTTGGAGTGAATAGGGGTAGTGGGGGAGCGCTGGAGACAGAGGGGCGCGAGAGCCTACAGTGCCCGCGGGGGTGACCTGAGCCGGCGCACGGTGTCAGGCAGCAGCGGCGGCGGCGGCCCGCCCGCCAACGGCGTTATGTGTCACACCGGCGGCGGCGGCGGCGGCGCCGGACGCTCGTCACGGTTCCCATGACCGGCGGGCCGGTGACCGCCTCCGCTCCCCACGACGCTCCGGCGCCGGCCCCGCCGCTCGTCGGAGGCGGTCCGCTGACGGGCGCGCGCGCTGAGGTCACGCCCTGACCGGGTCACTCGGGGGGGGGGGGGGGGGGGGGGGGGGGGGGGCTCCCGCCGGCGGGCGGGCTGTGCCCAGCGAGCAGAGGACGGGGGCGCGCGGCCGGCAGGCTGCGACCCTCGCCGCCGCCCTGTGTCAGCATGACCGGACCGCTCAGAGTCCAGATCAGCGACCGCGGCTCGGTAATGCGCCCGATTACTCAGAGTGCCCCGCACGTGCGGACGGCTCCGGCCGCGACGGCGTGCGGCTCTTTGAACCGACCGCCGCCGATCGGGTTGGCATCGGATGCTTATGGTTTTGTTTGCCACGGGCCCTGCGTGCCAGCAGTGAGGCAACCGTGCCATCGTGACCCAATGCAGCCGCCTGGGGCCGCCCACAGCTCGCGGGAAGCACGGCGTCGTGGTGGGGGCCCCTGTGCCGCCGTACCTTCTCTGTCCGTCTGACAGGGAAGGCAACGCGACGGCGGATCTGAGACTTTCCCGGAGCTGCAAGGTTGTCTTTATGTTATAGGCGTTCAGCCGTTTATTGGCCGTTTCGGTCGATTATTAACGACAATCGGGGGGCGTTTTCGCCGCGCGTACTGGGTGCTCCGGCGCCGCTCGGCCGTCGCCGCTGGCGCTGGTCCGTTTCGAAGGCGGAGGTCCGTCGGTGTCGATGCGGGGGTGGTCTTGGAGCCGGACGGCCAGCGAGTCACGCCACGGAGCCAGCTGGTCACGCCACGGATGACTAGCGGATCACGCCACGGATCGGCAACGGTCACGCTATGGATTTTCTACGCACCAGCTCACCGCTTAGACGCATTGGGGTGCCGCCGGCGGCCGGCTGCGGACGAAGCCGTCCGACCCGCCCGGCATCCCGACTGCCGGCTGACAGTGGGCTGACGAGGGACGTCCATGACCGTGACCCTCTGACCGTTCACGGCGTGACCCGCTGATCGTCTATGGTGCAATCACTGGCCGTCTGGTGTGGCCCGCCGGCGGCCGCCCATGGCATGATCCGCTGACCATCTGTGGCGTGACTCACTGACCGCTGCCTGTTGATGGTGCGTCGGGCGCTGGTGGCCTCGCTGGTCGAACGGACAGCCTCTGCTGGTGCTAGTCGAGTTCGATGTGCTTCCGGCCGTGAGGAGCTCGGTTCTTTGTCTGGTCCGGCACGGAGGTGGGCGCGAGCTGGGCACAGACGGAGCTCGGTCGGTGTCGGCCGCTCCCTCTCATCCTGCTCTGAGGGCGTGGTGCGGCCAGAGCTTGTGGCGGCGAGCTGTGGCCGCGGCGCCCGCTGACAGTCACGGTCTGTTTACTTCAGCGAACCCTGATCACGGCGCTGGTGCCATACCGCGCCGCTAGCGAGCCTCCGATATGTCACGTGGAGGAGGGAGGATTAGGCGCTGTGACGACGGTGCTCAGAGCAGGGCGACTGTTCTCACTGTTGTGATAGTCGTCGCCGAACCCTGCCTAGAGCTGTTTGATTCATCAAGTGGCATCGAGCAGGCTGTCTTACAATCCTCGCACTCCGAAGTCCATCGTGCGTCAGTAACGCTCTGGGTTCGTCGGGTGCATTTGGCAGCCACTGTCCGCTCTGACGCGAGCGCGCAAGTTCTCGGCGTGGAGTGGTTCGACACACAGTGCGCGGCTTCGGGACCGGTGGGGCTAAGGTGAGGGGGGAGGGGAGGGCTCTGGGTTGACGCAGTGCGCGATGTAGCTCCAATCGACCGCCGCTCATGGGGGCCGCCCGCTCCGTATCGGACCGATAAGAGAGCCGCCCGTCTGGCGGCCCGGCGGCCTGCCCGCGACCGGCACCGCCCCCCCCCCCCGCGCCGGGCCGCAGGACAGCCACGCGTCGCACGCGGAGTTGAACGGGGCACGTGCGCGCTTTTCCATTGAAGCGGGTCCGTGACCGGCTGTCGGTGTCGCCGGCCGCAGGTACCGGGCTAGTCAATGGCGCGTGGTGTGACGTCGGCGTCCCACCGGCGACTGCCGGTGGCTGCCTTCGTCCCAGCCAGGAATGATTCCCGCCGTGCAGAGTCCGCTTTGTTCAGCAATGGCCCTGTACAGTCAGACCGGGCTACCATCCGGGCATCCCGTGTGTGACGTCGAATCGCGCCGCAGCTCAACCGGGACCGTCCAACGCCGATCTCACACCCCGCCAGCTGCGGTCAGTCGGCTCGACCGGGACCGTCGAGCGCCGAGTCTCACCCGGCCAGCTGCGGTCGGTCGGCTCGACCGGGACCGTCGAGCGCCGAGCTCACACCCGGCCAGCTGCGGTCGGTCGGCTCGAGCGGGACCGTCGAGCGCCGAGCTCACACCCGGCCAGCTGCGGTCGGTCGGCTCGAGCGGGACCGTCGAGCGCCGAGCTCACCCCGGCCAGCTGCGGTCGGTGGGCTCGAGCGGGACCGCCGAGCGCCAAGCTCACACCTGGCCAGCCGCGGTCGGTCGGCTCGACCGGGACCGTCGAGCGCCGAGCTCACACCCGGCCAGCTGCGGTCGGTCGGCTCGAGCGGGACCGTCGAGCGCCGAGCTCACACCCGGCCAGCTGCGGTCGGTCGGCTCGAGCGGGACCGTCGAGCGCCGAGCTCACACCCGGCCAGCTGCGGTCGGTCGGCTCGGCCGGGACCGTCGAGCGCCGAGCTCACACCTGGCCAGCTGCGGTCGGTGGGCTCGAGCGGGACCGTCGAGCGCCGAGCTCACACCCGGCCAGCTGCGGTCGGTCGGCTCCTCTCCGGCCGTGACGGGACGGCGTCATCCACGGCACGGGGTGCAAGGCTGCCGTGCGGCGGCGAGGGAGCGCCCCTCTGCCCGGCGCCGTGACGTGTCTGCAGACGCAGCCAGCCGGCTTCCCTCGTTAGCCGTGCACTGGCTGCACAAGGCTGCCAATTGTGAAATGATCGGCCGGCCTGCAAGACCGCGAACGCTGTATGGGGTCGGACGCTGGGAACATTCGCCAGTTGTGCGTGTGCGTGTGTTGGAGCTTTCTGAGAAAATGAGCGTGGGTTACGTCAAATGAAATGGATGGCTTTCAGATTATGGCCGTGGAAAAGCGTCACTCGTAGTCGCTCTCAAACGACTACCCGCCCCCCCCCCCCGCGCCCCGGTCTGCGATTCAACTCACGCGCTCGGCACAGGCCACCGCCGTTTCTGATAAGACTGAAAGCCTCATGTGCATTCCGGCACGTGGTACGGCTGGATACCGGCTACGGCGTGATACGCCGACACCGACCAGATGCCCCGGCTCGTGCCACTGACG